GGTCATGCATGATCTCGAAGGTGATGCCGTCGATCAGGTAGTCCGGCACGATCTATTGTAGAGGAATGAGTTAGTTCCCTTCCCACCAGCCAAATAGTGCGCAGAGAGACGCATGTCGATACTCACCCGTTCCTGCACCTCTCCCTTCGAAGCAATCCGAAACGCCTCCCTCACATTCGCCACATTCCGCTCCTTATCCTCCCTCAGCGCCCGAGTATCCTCACCAAACCCAATCTCCCCGATCTCCCCCTTCGCCAGCCTTGCCTGCAACTCCTCCAATCCGCGCTTCAGGTCCGCTTCAATCAGGGCCTCCACACTCCCCAAGGTCTCATTCATCTCGCGCAGCCGCGCTGTCTCCCGAGCAGCCCAGATCTGCTGTTTCGCGCGCAGGACCGTCTTGGACAGATTCTCCGTCTGCGGGTTCTTGGCTGACAGGCTGGCGCGGTAGGCGTCGATGGCGACCTCGTATGCCTCCTGGGGGCGCTGGAGGCCCAGCAGCGCTTGCGCGAGGTAGTAGCTGCTCTTCAGGCTGGCGGGGTTCTTGGGGCCGTGGAGGGTGATCGCGGCGCGGGCGTCGTGCTCGACGCCGGCCCATTTTTCAAGCTTGAGACGTGTCACGGCGCGGTTGGTGAAGAAGGTTGGGTCATGCGGGTTCTTTTGGATTCTGCGGAGATGAGATGAATACGCGCGTTAGCCACACGGCCTTTTCTTTCGTGATGGGGCGCAGTTTACTTACGCTTGTGAGAAGTATTCCTCGGCGCCGCTGTAGTCTCCCTCTTTGAAGAGCGCGTTGCCCTTGGTCTTGAGGTCCTGGGCCATTCTTGGTTGGGTGGTGGTTGGCGGGTGTTGCAGATCAATGGAGAGAGTTGAGTCCCCCACGCGGGGCAGATACAAAACCCGAGATAGATCCTCGGGGACACTCAGACAGGCAGGATAGCCAAGGTGAGGACAGAGGGAAGCATGGTGATTGATCTCTCATTGATCTGTCGTGATATTAGCGCCTGGTGGATAAATCGAAGGTCATCGATGCCCACGGAAAACCTGACTCAGCCTGATCTATGCCCTAAGTTTTGAGTGGTCCGAAATATCACACCAAGTCTCTTCATTGGATCTATATACATGGCAGTAGACTATTCTACTCTTTTCTCTATCCCCGGCCCTCTAATCCGTCCCGGAAGACACGGTCGCGGGCTTGTCGTGGTATCAAATCGCTTTAGTGGTATATAATATAATGTGGGTCCGGAACAACAAAAGAAAGAAACACGGCGCAGCTTCTAGACTGATGCGCAGCCGCAGAGAGGTGGGTGGTGTTGTAGATGGTTGACCAGTGTGAAAGGGGGAAGTGAGGCGATGCACTTAAGCAGCAGCAGCGCGGAACTGGTTCTCATAGTCGGTAATCGCCTGGACCTTGGCAGCAGAAGCGCTCTTCGGGTCGAAGCGATAGTTCAGCCAGTCCGCCGCGAGCTTCTTAGCGAGCTCAACGCCGATGACGCGCTGACCCATGCACAGCACCTGGCAGTTGTTGCTCAGGATGGAGCGCTCCACGGAGAAGGGGTCGTGGGCCGTCACGGCGCGGATGCCGGGCACCTTGTTGGCGGCGATGGCGACGCCCAGACCCGTGCCGCAGATGAACAGGCCGCGGTCGGCCTTGCCCTCGACGATGACCTTGGCGCCCTCGACGGCCGGGTGCGGGTAGGCGGTCTTGTCGGAGGCGGAGTTGACGCCCACATCGATGATGGAGGCCACCAGGGGGTTCTTCTCCAGGTGGGCCTTGACGGCGTCCTTGAGGGGCACGCCGGCCTCGTCGCAGGCCATGACGATGCGGATGGGTTGGAGATCGGCAGACATGATGGTGGGTTGCGGTTGTGGTGGGGTGATAAGATTATAAAGTGATGGAGTATGGATGGAGTATATGCAGAGAAACACGCATTCAAAAGGGGGGGCATGCCAGTCTTTATATACGTTTCTCAACCCATCCGTTGCCTCTCTGTCCTTCCTTCCATACCCCGCCAACAGACAGTGGATCCACCCGAATGCGATTGTTCCGACCTTGGGTCGAGGTGCGCGTTACAGTAATTCTCGGGGCACTGCCAGACCCGCAGTGGCGTCATACAAAGTTATCGGATGCTTTAGGAAGATACGACTGCCGTACACTGTATTTACATCTCTGTCTGCATGTACAACTTCAAGGGTGCAAGCCATCGATGTCAGTGTGGCGGCCGTAGCACGCGCTCATTCGCGGCGGGCGCAAGTAGGGTTAGCTGCAGTAGTTAATGACTCGGGATGGATTGGGAGGGACTGAAACACCGAGTCCGTCGTATTATTATTATTATCATTATTATTAGCCCTCGGAATGGCTGCCTCCGGCTGGGCTTCATTCTGCCATTTCGCCTCGATGCCGGCCGACACACCCTGGCATGTCCGCATCCGTTGCCGAGGAGCACTGACCGCCGCCAACCCTAACTCCTTCGCAACACATTTGAATGGCCTCACAAGTATACAATTGTATGCAAAACACCACCAAAACAATACCCTTCCATCCCTCCTACTCTCTTCCCCAACCCCGGCTGGGTCGATCTTCGCTCAGGGCATCTGGGCTCTGGGCCATGGTGTAATTGTCCCCACTGGCCACTCCACCATCTGTGCCGTCGTTGGCCCAGCGTCGCCGGTGACAACCGACCGGCGCATAAGCGGTTCCCTGGATTGAACCTACTCCGGATTCTGGCCTGGGTGTTCTCCGCGCTCCTTTGCAGATCGAGAAAGCGAATTACAGTGTAGGGTGGCGTAAGTGGTGGCCAGCTTATGTGACTGCACGACAAAATTTCGGAGGGTCTATAGTTATTTCTACGTGGAAATCAATTGAATGTGATTGCTGTGCCGCATGGGCCATCGGAAATCGACGTCGGTATACGCAACAGGTTTCGGACACTCACTTCCCCTCCCCTCCCCCTGCCCCTCTTATCTCAGAGCTGGTACCGACGCTGCGACATGCCGAGTGTCCTATTAGGCTCGAGCCGCGTCGCGAGACCTTCCCCACCGGGACTCTGTCTTCCGGATGTTCGTGTCTGGCTTACTTTCCCGCTTCGTCCCTGATATCATACCCCTCGTACTCGTAACCCCCTGCCAATGAGGGGGGAAAAGACGCGGGTGACATCATTTGCCTTCAGGGCGGAACAAGTAGGAAGTATATGTCGCATTGTATGTGTCTGGGCGTCCGCAGGGGTTGCCGCTAATGCTACTGTATTGCTGATCACTACTGTTGGGATTGGATTGAGGACACCTGTTCCTCTAGACGGGAATTATTCTAGTACATCATAGAGGGGCATTGTGAGTGGGGGACAATTATTGGACTGGGCTAGACAATTCCGAAGGATTCAAGGATTCAATCGTGGGGGATTTTCGGGTTTCGTTATACACGGCGGCAACAACACCCTCTTTTCACCTCAAACTTTCCTCATCCATACCACCACCCACAACACACTCCCACTCCCACCATGGCCAGCACCACCTACCCCATCCTCCCGGAGAAGCTGCTCCTCATCTCGCTGAAGATGTACTTCAGCCCAGACCGCACCCTCGAGTACCTGCGCGGGCTCCTCGACCCAGCCAACGAGATCGTGCACCCCGAGAATCGCGAGCGTCTCCTCCTAGCCCTGATCCCCGACTTCCTAACCGTGTACCCCTGCGCGGAGATCATTAAGAACTACGAAGCCCAATTACCGGCCTCAGCGACGTCCGGCCCGGCCCCGTTCCTGCTCGGCGCCCAGGACTGCATGTGGGAAGCAGCGGGCGCATACACCGGCGAAGTATCGCCAGCCTCCATCCGCGCCCTGGGCTGCTCCATCGTCGAGCTGGGCCACGCCGAGCGCCGCGCCATCTTCGGCGAGACGGACGACCAGACCGCGCGCAAGGCCGCCGCCACCGTCGCGCAGGGGATGGTGCCCCTCGTCTGCGTCGGCGAGGTGACAGCGCCTGGGCCCGTCGCGTCCGAGGCTGTCGGACTGGCTGTGACCGAGTGCGCGGTGCTCGTCCGCGCCGTGCTGGCGGCCATCCCCGCCGACGCGCCGGTCATCTTCGCCTACGAGCCCGTCTGGGCCATTGGCAAGCCCAAGCCTGCGGGCGTCGACCATGTCGCGGCTGTGGTGCAGGGCATTCGCACGGTCATCGGTCCGAGGCCCGGTGCGGCGCGCGTTCTCTACGGGGGCAGCGCCGGTCCCGGTCTCTGGGGTGCGGGTGGCCTGGGCAAGGCTGTTGATGGCATGTTCCTCGGCCGCTTCGCGCATGAGATTGAGGGCGTGCGCAAGGTTGTCCGCGAGGTGGAGGAGACACTCGGCGTTGCGCCTTGAAGGAAACTCTCTACGACCATATCTTCTCTCCATCTTTCAAGCGTATCAATGGTTTCGCGCATACAATCACTCGTCACCGTTATACCCAAAGATACATACACACACAGACATACACCATAATAAAAACTGGAGCCGGGCGCATCTAGACCTGTGGGCAATTGCCTTAAATCCACCGCACTATCAGTGTCAGTCATACCAAAAAGAATTGTGGAAAAACCCCCCACCATCAAAACAACCCGCGCAAAAAAAAAAATTCCGGCCGAGTGAGGTCGGAAGAGCCTATCTGGGGAAACCCGCGATCGATGGAGCCCTGGAGCTGCAGCTGCCCATTTTTATGGAGCTCAGCTGGAGTCGCGGGTGGGTTTTTATGGAGCTCAGCCGGTATTCCCGTTCTGGATCTGCTGTATGTCTCCACGGGCTGTGTCACGAGGCCGATCAAGGATTTTCAATGGCTCAGATGACCTTAATTCTATTCTTGTTTGCGATCGTCAGGGCTTGGGTGGTGCTTGCTGCTTTGAGTAACCCGAGCTCGACTGATTGTCTAGATCTAGATAGACCTATAATGATAATTAATGGTTATGATCAAAATTATTAGTCCGACATTCCATATCCTATCTTGCTATTTATTTACACATGGCTTTCCAAATCACTTAGTTACTGCTTCTGCAGCTCCTCGCGCAGCTCCTGCTTGACCCGCGTGACGGTGCCGATGCCCCCGTAGACCACCCCCGTGTACATCATGGCGACCGAGGCGCCGGCACGGAGGGCCGCGAGCGCCTGCTGGCCGTTGGTGATTCCACCGGATGCAAAAATGACCTTGCGTGGAGCCGGGTGACTCTCCACGTCCTGCTCCGCCGGCGAGGAGGGTCCCTGGTCAAGCAGGGCGCGGTAGCGGGCGACCAGAGCAACGGACCGATCAAAGAGCTGCGGGCCCGAATACCCGCCTGTCTCCTTGATAGTCTGCTGCTCCTGTACAGGGAGAGCGAATCCCCTGGGAAGAGGATCCGGACGACGGTTCGTCGTATTGCCCACGATCACACCGTCGACCCCGGAATTCCAGACAGCCTCGCAGATCCCGGAGATCTGCTCGTCCGAGTCTTCGTCCGGGCTGACCTTGACCATGACAAAGGGTTTTGTCTTGCGCTCCACGCTCTTCGCCGCGCCGACGACAGCCGTCAGGATCGCGGTGAGCGGTGCGGTCGCTTGCAAGTCGCGCAGACCGGGCGTGTTGGGACTGGACACATTGACCACCAGAATATCCGCGTACCGGGCCAACCGATCGACGCAGTAGACATAGTCGCGCTTGATGGCGTCGAGATCCCCGTCCGGGGTAAGTTTGTTCTTGGCGACCTGCACGGCCAGCAGTTTGCCTGGCACCAGACTGCCAGGAGGAACACCCGCTTCACCGTCCAGGACTCGCTGCTCGGAGAGGTCGTGCTCGCCCAGCCCGGCGGCGTAGGCAAAGTCTCGCACCCGCTGCTTCAACACCGCAGCCATGTGGTCCGCGCCCTTGGAGTTCAAGCCGTAGCGGTTGATCATCGCGTGCTGCGAGGGCAGACGGAAAACCCGGGGTTGAGGGTTTCCTTCCTGTGGCAGGGGAGTCGTGCCGCCGACCTCGACGATCGCTGGTCCGATCTCGAGCAGTGGATCGGGAATGTCGGCGTGTTTATCCAGACCAGCGGAGATCCCGATTGGGTTGCTGAGTGTGTAGCCAAAGACCTAGACAGACACCCAAATAAGTATATCAATTCCAGCATGAGAATGACTGGATAGAAAGAGACATACCTCAGTAGCGAGCGCACCATCCCCATCCGGGTTCCCTCGCTCTCTCGGATGAAGACCATACCGATACATGACTTTCAAGCTATCCACACCAACATGATGCGCCTCTTCCGCGTCGGGATACATGAGCCGAATCAAGGGCACAACAGCGTATCGATGGACACTAGCCCGAGTATCGGTGCCGTAAAAGTAGCCCACCAGCAAAGTCAGAGCCAACGAAGTGCCGTAAAAAGCCCTCTTGACACCGCGGCCAGCCCGTTTGGGCGCTGCCTTGACCGTCTCCGCCGGACCAGATGATGCCGCCTCGGATGCATATCGCGAGGTGCTGAAGCATTGCTTGATTATTGGCCGTTGAACCCAGCGGGTGGCAGGCAGGCCGCGAGTCCGTGCGCTGGCGGCTCTCCAGGCGATTGTGGTGGTTTTGGACGCCATGCTAGCTCAATTGCTGTGCAAGACGCTAATTGGCCTGGTTCATTGGCAAGGAAACGTGGATTGAGTCTGTAGCGTGGTCAGTATTGCAGTCCACAGCTTCTGGAGCTTAACGCTAAGGACTAAGGTGCTCTCCGACAACCAGTCGCTCCGTATCTGGAGGGATCACGGAGCAGCATGATAGAAACCTCAAGAGACTCACCAATGACTTTGTCGCTCAATTCAAATCAGGGAAAGAAAGTCCCTTGAATCAAATCGGGCAAAATCGCGAATATTAGCGGTGAGAAATAGAAATGGCAGAATCCTACTATGTCATGGGCGGTAAGACTGTAACTCTTTTAGGGCTTGTAAACCGACTCCATGGCTTGTTTTGGCATTTTGAGTGCAAAGTAAGTGTCTGGACTAAAATAAAACCATTAACGACCTAGGGCTGGAGTGACTGGTCTGTTTAGCATGCTCAAAGAAGAGGGACCATGTCAGGACAGCCAACATTAGTTGTATATGCCGGATGTATATAAAGAGAGTGTATACACAAACAAATGTTTTTGCTATTTACCTGCTCTATGCGAGACATGAAATATACCTAGATATTCATACAAGCTGGCGGATATATGAGACTGATTATGGCAAGCCCTCAATTCAGATCCCCGGTATCGTATCAGGTGTACGGCTCGGTGGCGCTAAAGCCTCCATCAGCAACTCTATTGGCACCTCCTCTTCTTGGGCGATCAACGGGCCTTGATCCCGTCATGTCATAAATCCTGGAGATGGCCGTAAACTACGGACTCGCATACTCTGCTACTGCCCTGTGGACTTCTCTTCTGAACAGCAGAGCGCATCCAGACAGAATGTCAACGCCGACACAACCCTCCGCTGCTGGCGAGCACTCTGATCATGTGTACCTCGTAACGCCCCGGGAACAGAAAACGCAGGCAAATGGAACCAAACCTGTGCATCAGGACTCGGATGATCATCGTGATCATACAAAGGAGGCATACCGTTTGTTCAACGTCTGGAAAGATGTACGATCAACATCAGAAACCCAGACAGACCTTACAACTAACCCCCCAGTACAGGTGGCGCTAGGCCCAAACATTAGCTACAGTCTCCAAGTACATCCCAGCGGCGGGCGAGCGCAGACTCCAAGCCCGGTATTTCACACACCGCGCATTCCCTGGTATCGCCAGCGGTACCATCTTCCTGCATCATTCGACCTATACGCAGGAGGCACAGTGATCCGCAGCAGCAAGGACCCCCAGCCAGCGCCTGAACACCTGCGCTCGCGTATCCATTACCGTGGTGTTGAGGGTATCTTCACACTTCGCGTGGATGCCGATATCCTCTCTCAGCCTGATGGTGCAAGCGAACCTGTCAAGCGGTGTTCTGTGAGAATAGCCCGCAAGGGAATTGGTAGAACGTATAGTGTTCAGATTTATCAGCATGGATCTGGATCAGTGCAGAAATTCTGCTGGAAGGGATCCAAGGCTGCGCTGTCGCTTGTTGAGGACAGGGAGCACGATGGGAATGGGAATCTCAAGTTTTTTGCGGCGGATAGGCCGCAGGAGATCCTAGCTGTCTGGAAGAATCGGACTGACCGGCGGATTTTGGGGGTGTTGAGCGTGCTGGCGACACTGGATGAGGGTCCGGATGGGCTGCTCGAGGCGCTGGTGGTCAGTTGTTTGGCGGTTGTGCTTGCAGAGAGGTTGTCTGGTCGGGGATGGCTAGGTGGATTGGGGAGGTCCAGTGGTTAGGGTGAGCTAGAGTCTTCTTGAACTGTGATAATGAATGGAATACGGCTGGAAAGCGAGCTTTACTAGGCAATCTCTTGGGAAAGAACAATGATGGTCCGGAAGCATAGGAGCAGATCAATGCCAATGTTGTTGATTTCACTTTCTTCGAAACCTACTGGTAAATAGAAGTCTATGACTGTCAGCAGGAAGGAGATAAACTACAAGTTTGTTCCGATTCATGTTGCTAAAACGCCTGTCCTCGCTCCCTGTTTATGTACCCAGACACCGGAATGAACATCAAACCCTCGAAAAAGACAGATGGAGAGAAGATAGTCATCGTCAAAACCCGCTCTGTCACACCCCTTTTTACTCATCACTCATGTGGGTATCCTCTTCTTCGCCCTCCTGCTCCTGCTCCTGCTCCTGCTCCTCTTCCTCCTCGTCCTCAGCAACAGGCTGCTCAGGGGGTGGGGGAAGAGTCTTCGCGAACTTGGGGTCGATGTTAGCGCGGTGCAACGAACGTTTGTAGACCTCCGCCTCATCGGGATCGCGAACGACGACCTGCATCTGGTCGATTTTGTCTTCCTGGGCCTGCGACGCCGCGGTGGGAGCCAAACCCGCTTGGGCGATGGTGCGGGCACGCTCGGGCTTGAGGCGGGTCTTGCCGATGATCGGGTAGTAGTAAGCGGCCTGCTGCTTGGTCTCGCCGTCTGAGGGCTGGAACATGGTGAGTGCGATGTCGCGCTGTTTCTGATCGAGCGTCTGCGCGCTTGTGGCGTAGGTGCGGACGCGGTCGTAACGGTGGAACTTGGTGCCGTCGGGTCCGTCGTGCGTGTAGAGGTCTTCGTTGTCGCGGTCCGGGTGCGTCATGCTCATGCTCGACTGGATGTTCGTTGCCGAGTCGGGATTCTCTGGCAGGAAGAGTTCGTAGTCCCAAGGCACGGGGCCGGGGTCCGGGTACAGGTTGGGGTTGGCCTTGTGGAGTGCTGCCTTGGAGGCGTGGTCCTGGCAGATGCGCTCCTCGGGCGCGGACGGGTGCAGCAGAGCAACTTCCATGCGCTTGTCGGGCTTGCCAGAAACCCCTGAGACGGGGGCCTTGTCGAACTTGAACTGGACATATCCGCCAGGATCGGGGAAGCCTTGAAGGTCGGGCAGCACAGGGTAGATTCCCACTGGCTTCAGTTTGGGGTTGTCAGGGTGAACAGGATTGGCCCAGGCATCAACTTCATTCTTCGTCGGAGGCAGGCCTCGAATGCGGCTCTCCGTGTCTTCGCCCGTGTGCTTGCTCTTAGGATAGGCGATATCAAAGCCCTTCTGGATGTACTTCTTGATATGCTTCGGATCATCCACGGACGTCTTTCCCTTCTTCAAAGAGGGTGCGCGGGCTTTGACAGCCGAGCCCTGGCCCTCAGGGACACCACGCTCAGTAGAGATGTGCTGCGTGCGACGGAGGAAGCTGACATTGGCGTTCTTAGGGGCAGGATTCCGAAGCTGATCAAGTGTCATCAGAAGCGGGAGATCAGCCGGGTCCATGGGCTGCGGGTGCTCGGGAGCCATGATAGCTGCGCAAGAAAGTCAGTCGCACATCCTCGACAAGCCAGGAAGAAAGGATACATACCGCTCTCATCGCCTAAATGCAGGCCCGGAATACCAACCAGGTCAATGGGCATGCCACCTTCGGCATCGACATCTATATTCGGCTCCTCGCGCCGTGCCAGGTTCGAGGCAAATCCGGGAGTGATGAAACGGTCCAGTCCTTCGTGTGGGATGTCGAGGAACTTGGGGGGCATGTCCGGGGGAGGGAGGTCATTGCGGTAGCGCAGCGAGGCAATGTACTCCTGGTGGAAGCCACCACCACCCGAAGACTGCCCGCTCTTCGACTTGGAAGACATATTGATTTTGGAGTCGCTTTGCTCGAGCGCGGGAGGTTCGACGATATCGCTCTCAACCTCAATTTCAACCTCAACCCCGACGCTGTTGACAGGCGGGGCAACTGTCGCGTATTTGGTCAGCACCAGGTCTTTTTACCCAATCTTACTGATCACCTTACCTTGAGCCGGAGGAGGGTTCGGCTGCTGGCTCTGCGGTTGACTCGGGCCAGGAACCGGGGGTAACGGGGGCGGAGTGGCAGGAGGGGGTGGGAGGGGGGTCAGGAGAGGAAGGAGGAGAGGGTAAATCTAAAGAAAAGTGAGAATCAACCCAGCCCTGAATGAGCAGAAAACGAGAGATCCCGAGCGAAGAGAGACGTAGCTGGTCGCAAACTTACCAGAGACAAGGGCCATTCTGCCAATGGTGACCGCCTGTTGAGTTGGGGTTAGCGTCAGAGTGGGAAAGTGAAGGAAGGAAGTCACGTGAAGAGTAAAAGCAGACAACAAAAGGGAAGAACTACAAGGAAGGAACAACCATCATTCATTGCCACTAACACATTAATACGCCCACATGCACTTGTATGCCATCAGTCGATGCCCTAGTCGATCATACTCCAGCTGCCCAATCCAGCTATCATTGGTCCCACTGAGTTTCCCAAACACACTGGCCCCCTTCCACACAACCACCTGGGGATCGAGGTCTCTCGGAGGAACTCCAATCATGATCTCCTTGGCAAACCCAGGACGCAGAGCTTGCAGTCGTTCCTCGAGGAACTGGTGGAACTGCGCAGTCAAGCTGCCGCCACCCACCACCATGATCCCCCCGTAGAAATCGCGCATCTTCTTTTCATCCGAGCGAGCTGCGTGAGCAATGGATGTGAGGATCGCGCTGTCGAGAGGGTACACCGGGATGATGTCGTCTCGCTCTTCCACAGAGGGGGCCCGAGGTGCCTTCTCCTTCTCAGCCAACTCCTTATCCTTCACAGCAGGCGTGCTAGCTCCACCGGCTTGCGGAGTCCCCGCGGCTTCAGGTCCTGGGGAGCCGGCAACAGATGACCGAGGAGTGGCCTCAGCTTCCTGAACTTTGCTGACTGCGCTGGGGTGCTGGGGTTTGCTCGGTGTCGCCTGCACATCCGACAGTGCCGTCGGCGCGTCTCCGTTCGCCTTGTCATCGGAAGGCAGTGGCGGGGCGAGAGCGGTTAAAATCTCCGACTGCGCAGCAGAGACAGGGTCATTGAGTTGCCCGTCGTAGATATCCATAGACCGGTCAATGAGTGTCCGTCGTGCGTCGACTTTGTGTTCATTGTCGAAGATGGTTGGCTCGAAGAAGCCCATCGGCGCCAGGTGGACTTCATCGTAGGCCTTGAAGTTGTATTTGCGTGTATCCTGGCCAGCCACACGTAGATGGAAGTCGAACACTTGGGGTGAGACGCTGCCCTCGTTCATGGTGCAGAGGTTCTTCTTGAGCTCCTCGGCAAGCAAATAGTCGTGCCGCTGCCACAGGTTTATGTCGGCATAGGGGAAGTGGTCGTGGAGCATCATCTTGATGAAAGTCTCGGTCACGTCGCGCCCGCCGAACTTCAGGTTCACGCGCGAGTTCTCGATGCACATGCCTTCCTCCACACAGCAGATGGACGTCTTCTGCGCCCCGATATCGACGACGCAGGCCGAGGTAAACCCGGCGCCGAAGGTGGCCGCTAGGCTTTCCTGGATGAAACATGTGCGGGCAAAGGAAAACTCTCGCATCAACATCTCGAGAATTTGGGTGACATATGATTTCTCGTAGAGATCTGGGATGACAAACACACACGAATACTGCGGCCAGTCTTTCTTGCTGGTCAAGCCCAGGTGGGTTTTGATGGCATCTTCAAGGATCAAAGAAATGTCCAAGAAGAGCATCCGCTTACTCTTGTAGTCTTTCTCGTTGCACCACCCATTCTGGATAGGCCAGTAAAGCTTGTATCGGGGTTTTGACAAGTCTGGTACACGCAATGCGGGCTGTCCCACAATGTACTCTGGTGGAGGGTCGGAGAGCTCGGTCCAGTCGACCCGCATGGGGTCGTTATGTTCCGAAATGACCTCTGGAGCTGTTCTGCGATTGTAGTTGACCACCATCTCCTTGGAGTTGGGCAGCATCCGTCGCTTGTTCTGTCGCATATGTACCTTGAGATCGGCAGACATTCTGTTGAACTGAGACGACCACTATAAAAGAGTCAACGAATTGCCCAATCTTCACAAACACAGCGTCGGGCGTACCTCAGACCCAAACGACTTCTCCGGCTCCACAGGAGAACCGTCGTCCCGCTTCAAACGCTTCGGCTTGGGTTCCTCCTGGTCTTCAGATTCACTTGTCGCGGATTTTCTCGCAATCACCATCGGAATCGTCTTGGGTAGTGCGTCACTCGATAAGCCAATTCGCAAGTTCTGGCTGCCGATGTGAATCACAATGACCTTGGACCCGGCCGCTTCGGCAGGCGCTTCTTCCGTGTCCTCCATCTTCGCATCCTCATCGGCTTCGGCTTCCGCCTCTGCGGCGGGTTCGCTGGTCTTGGCCGTTGCAAGGGCTCGATCACGGTCCTTTGCGGCCTTGGTCATTTTGGACCGGGCCTCCTCATTTTGTAGTCGGAACGCGAGGGACTGATCATCCCTCTTGAGGTAGTCGCTGCACGTAACCAGGCACCATTAGCAATTGCAAGAGGTCAATCAGGCTCTGCGACATACGTGTAGTAGTTCTTCTGGTTGATTGCTGGGATTTGCGGCCAGCTGGAAAGCTCCATGTTGTTGTCCGTCCGCTCCAGGCCTACGTAGTCCACTTCCAGTCAGCGCGCTGATCTTGCACTAGATACTCTCTCAATCGCTGGTCTTTTGAGTCCTTACCGTCGTCCCGGGCGGCCTTTCTGCTCTTGCCGACCATGGTGTGCGATTCTAGCGGAACCTTGACCGGCGTGGGTCAATGCCGCGGCGACGAATCTAGGGAGGGCACAGGTGGATGGGTCTTGCGATCGGATTGCGCTTGAAGAGATGGAAGAACGAAGGGAGATGGAAAAGGAGAGGAGAGGGAATAATATATAAGGGCCCAGCGAGGAGGACAACGCAGTGAAATAGTGAATGCGCGAATGAATGAACGGTGGATGGATAAATGGATCAATCAATTGACCGCCCGCCAACTTACTTAGGCCGATTGCCACCATCCTTTCTTTCACTCAACGACCTTCCTCGACACACCAACAACCACCTCGCCATCCAACATTTCTCTCTTTGCTTGTCCTTGACTCCGACTTTCCGCCCTATCCTGTCATCCACATCTCATACCTGTCACCAATCACCCACCCCCGCCAGGCCCTCTGCTTTGAAATCAAGGCCAGTTCATAATACACAATCATGGGAGGTTCATTATCGCGTCTATGGTCAATGGTCTGGACCAAAAAGGAGATCCGAATTCTCATTCTGGGACTGGTACGACTACTGTGCAAGCGGGCCGACCATTCTGCTGGCCTATGCGTGGCTGGCTCAAAGGCTGACTCGGGATATAGGACAATGCGGGCAAGACGACACTGCTCTACAGGCTCAAGGTACGCGCCGCCCGGATATCGCCGACTGTTTTCTGGTGTTAGCGAAGCACGTCGCTAAGTAATACTTCTGGTCCATAGATCGGCGAAGTCGTCACCACGATACCTACAATCGGATTTAACGTCGAGTCGGTCACATATCGGAACCTGAATTTGAATGTCTGGGTAGGTACCTCATGTGCTGCAGCGATCACCGACATTAGTGAGTTGCTGCTGACCACGGTTCATTCCAGGATCTCGGCGGTCAAACGTCCATCCGTCCGTACTGGCGCTGTTACTACGCCAACACCGCGGCGGTCATCTTCGTCATCGACTCCACAGATATCGAGCGGCTGGGGACCGCGGCTGACGAGCTGGCGGCAATGCTGAACGAGGAGGAGCTGCACGACGCGGCGCTGCTGGTGTTTGCCAACAAGCAGGATCAACCGGGTGCCAAGGGCGCGGGTGATATTTCCGAGGCCCTGAAGCTGGGAGAGCTCCGGGACCGCAACTGGAGCATTGTCGCGTGCTCTGCCATTGACGGCAAGGGTGTTGAGGAAGGCATGGATTGGCTGGTGGTGAGTTTTTCTTATTCACGTCTTGCTATTTTGGGATTAGACAGACTAATCCTGTTGTTATTTATCTGCAGCAAACCATCCAGTCGGAAAGCGCATGAACTGCTTGTGTCTTTGCATCGGGCTATAGATTTTGAAACGACGATATACCTTGGTCTCCATGGTCGTGGAGGGGCTTGGAGGCCGTTCTGCTGCATTTGATGTGCTGTGCTTATTTTTTCCTTCGGCTCTGCAGAGCCCTTGTCTTATATCGCTACATGGTTATTTTTGGAGGCGGTTCATCATGGCAGATAATAGTTTAATCGACGCCGTTGGGTCTATGAATAAATACAGAGCCTTCCTTATCTCCTCACCCCGCATCTGTGTTCCTTCTCCCAGTTTCATCCACTTCTTCCATCCACCTTGAGCTGCAATATGGATATTATCCCCTCAACCCAGATCGCAGCCGTCGTCCCATCTTCGAGTACATCCACTACAGATGTGCAGATCACCACCATGCATCCAGTGCCGAGGCCCGGTGATGGCGAGGTTCTCGTGAAACTCGAGTTCTCGGGGGTGTGCCACTCCGACGTGCACAGTATACGCAGGGACACGCCCATGTCGACGGATGTCGCAGGCCACGAGGGTATCGGAAAGGTGATTCAAGGTAGGCAAAATGCAATACGGAATTGTCTGGGGCAGTTAGTAGATCGAAGTCTAAATCGTTGCTATTTAGTCGGGACAGGCGTTGATGAGACGCAGTGGATAGGTCAAAGAGTGGGAATCAGGTCAGTATCTCTTTTCGTCCTTGAATGAGTTCTGCTCAGGGGTCTTCGGCAAGTAGATGGCTCTTTAGTTCATGTCTCCAGTGTGAGATATGTGCCATCAATCATACGGCCTGTCCATATCAGAAGAACGCCGGTGCAGTACGTGATCATCGATTTCCAGATGACATAGATCTGTCTTGCTGATCTGTGATGCAGAATGTCCCCGGCACATTTCAGCGTATGCCCTGAATATCGTCACACATTGGAGCCACCATAATAATTCCATGCTTCAGAGTATATCGTCAGTCCAGCAATGCATGTCACGAAGATTCCGGCGGGGCTCTCGCCAGAGACAGCGGCACCTCTCCTATGTGGTATGGTTTGCCCGTGCACTAAAAGAAAACACGGCGAGCTCACTTATACAGCCGGGATATCCATGTACTCCTCCATCACGAAGAGTCGAGCGCGCCCAGGTGACTGGCTAGTCATTCCCGGCGCGGGTGGAGGTCTTGGCCATTTGTATCTGCACGAATAAATGACTTTCTCTTCATGTCGCTAACAGTTTGTTTGGCTAGGGGCGTCCAGGTTGCGGTCAAGAAAGGTATCAAAGTCATTGCTGTCGACACGTATGTGCCCTCTACCAGCTTCTACACCTTGAATAGCCAAACTAACAGGACTGCTTCTCTGCTTTAAGAGGGGAGAAAAAGGAACAGCTCTGTCTATCACTGGGCGCTACATGGTTCCTGGACTACCAAAAGGTCGACGTCGTGGAAACTGTCATATCCCTCACATCGGGACTCGGTGCCCATGCAGTGATCTGCACTGCTAACAGCGAGCGCGTTTATGAACAAAGTATGAAGATGCTTCGCCCCTTGGGGACGCTCGTTTGTATTGGGATCCCGAATACACCATTCAGATTACCTGCTACACCGTTCGAGATGATTATCAAGGGTAAGCAAGCACTGATCTATGATTTGAAGATCGAAGCCGCAGGCTAGTTACTGAACATTGTTATAGGTCTCACTATCGTGGGTAACTCGGCTGGTACTGCGAAGGAGATGGATGAATTGCTGGAGATAGCTGTGGCGGGAGATGTCAAGACACATGTCGAGGTGTTCGGTCTGACGGAGATTAGTGATGTCTTGCAGCGACTGGAGCGAGCGGATGTTGATGGTCGTGCGGTTTTGAGGATTCCTGAGTGAGCTTAGTCGGCATGGTATGTATATCGTCGAGGGTTTGAATCCAAATCCGATGAAAAGGAGAATGTTCGTGATATCTGGCGAATAGCCTTTCATTCCTTCTAATCATACATCCGTGCCAAATGTCATGTCCCAGAAAGAAGACCTTCTAATGTTGGGAATAAAAAATGCGAGAACCAGTCCATCCCCCATAATATAACCCGATATGCCAAACGTCATGCATATAGTCGGATCGCAAACGTACAAGCCTCGATACCCTAATCACGGCAACATAATAGCCCCGAGAACTCCGGCCGCACCGATTATCGTAGGAATATGAACAGAGAGACCCGATGCCGCACTGAAATTATCTTCGGGATCAGTTAGCAAGATATCATCCAGTAAAAACACCTAATAATAGCAACTGTAAATCCTCCCAAACACAAGAAAGGAAACGAACCGATATATGGCCCACAGTATTTAACAGCATCCTTGGCAAATTTCTCAGCATCGTCAATGTCGGTTTGACTGGTGTTGTAATTCGGGCAATTGGAATTGATGCACTCTCGCACGGACTGTGCAGAATTAAGAACATGCGCTTCGTTCCCAGAACCACGGGCTGTGCAAATGCACTTGATATCGGACGCTTCGGTGCTGGCCTTGGCCGCACCACCACATGTGCTGCCTATTTCCTCGTTGTAATATTTGTTCCAGCACTCTCGCGCGCAGGGCGCCAGGTCGTTGGTCAGTGTATTGAATGTGATTTGGGAGTCGGCTGCCGCGCCGGTGGTGGCGAGAGCGAGGACCGCGACAAGAGAAATACGCATTTTGTCGATTTTGTGTAGGATAGGTGGGAGGATGATGGGTGTGGAGTTCGCAAGGACGAGTGCGCTTTTTAAAATAGTACATGCAGTGCCGATTTTGGTTAGTGGCATGGGTCTTTCTTTGGCCCCCAACAAAATGAACTGGGGGCCAGATATAATTTCGTTTATGAGGAAAGATAAGTGAGGCTCTGCGCATTTTACATTTAGAGCTGCACCACGGTCCTCCTCCAACACAAAGCATACCGAGATGTCTATATATTAATTAGTGGGCCTGTTCAGAATAGGTTAAGAAAAAAGTCGAGGCAGAAGATGACCTTCGACTTTGGCGTTATTAGCACCACACTCTAACCAACTGACTTATGGAACCCGAGCCTGTTCAGTTCGGAGCTGCAAATATTCGTGTTCCAAAGAATTCCAACCGAGGCTGTTGTAAATGTTTAGCTCCCTTAGTTTGCCTTTTATCCGTCTGCGAACAGCTTTAGTGACGGAACTACCATGTGTAAAGCCTCTAGAGTACAAGTTGACCCTTGAATACTATTTCTTGAGGTTAGATGTGTCAAACTTTATGCTCTCATGAGAGACCTTAAGCTACATACACAAACCCAAATATCGGCCCGAAATGATGCCTTTAAGCTATTATTAAAAGCATCTCTGTGGGCTGAATGGTCCAAGTGCCCAATCCTTCCCGGTCATCACAGACTCTAAGGTTGAATTGGGGCTATAGGATCTTAGGTCTATTTGAGGCGATCCTACCGGTCGCTGGAAGATCAGCGTTTACTTTATAACAATGCTACTCCATGCTACCTCTATGATATTGAAAAGGGGAGGGGGCCTCAACGCATTCCATAAGCTATTCTATGTTCCAAGATGTTATTACGTTTTGCTTTTATTCTTTTCTTGTATATGCGGTTGATTACTACATACCCCTTAGACTATGTAGAACCTCTCTATGTATTTTGTCTACAAACATATGGCCCCCAAATGTTCCTATCTAGGTAAATGCTATGGTATTTGTTTACCTCCCCCGTATATACGGATTCTTTTTTAAGATTTTTCTTCTATATATCTCGCTCAGTGGCCCTAAATAAAGTGACCAGCCCCTATGCAATACGTTTTCTCTGCCGGATTTTACTCTGTACTAGAGATCCTGGGTAGGATTAAAGAAAAAAACCATCAATCAAAGCCTCCGAATACACAGCCTCCTCCTTACTCTACTATTCTACACCTTACTCTATTCAATCCAGTCGATATGCTCGCCTTCAGCCCCAAAGCCGGGCCTGTGAGATTGGCCTTACCGGTTATTTGTATTTCTATGGCGGTTCTTCTTGTGTACTTCAATACTCGCACTAATTGACTTTTATGTCTGACTTTTACGGCCTTTAAAAGAATCTTCATGTTGTAGAGATTTTCCATGAGTCCGCGTCTGCACTGTCGTCAAAACAGGTGCTCCCACAAGAAATATTGATATTCCTGGTCTATTCCTAATATACACTAGCGGGCTTTGGCATTAGGGGTCGAGAGACAATGAATGAGTGTAGGTGGTGGCACCAGTTTCGAGACGCACTGTATGTCGTTTTTAGAAGTCTATGCTCGAGTCTTATCCCTGAGGAGATCTGGAATGTCAGACCCTATTCGGGCACCCAATGATTCTCACAATGTACTCTATTCGGAGGCCGCCACCAGCCTATGGTTCCATAACTCAGTTGGTTAGAGTGTGGTGCTAAGCCAGAGTCGAGGGTTTATGATTTCTTTCATTTTGCCCCTGTGCCTTTCTGCCGTCTATGTATAGGCATCTTGATGGTTCAGGCCCGCTCGGGATCCGCTTCACCCAATAACGGGCCACTAACATAGAGAAATTACGGATTCTCCCGACACTTTTTGTCGGGTGACAAACAGCTATTATCATTATTTTTGATCGTAATAACCCATGCGAAAATGCCCCTCCTCTCTGGGCGATCCCGCATGATACCCCATTAAAGGTGTGCCGGCGACGGCAGCGTTGATTGGCAGCGGGCGGCAGGCCTATCGGGGCCAGCAACGGGGCCCACGGGGTCGCAATGATTGACGGAGAGTCGCGCGGCGGAGCACTTGTCCCGACACATGGTCCCCAGGCCGTCCGCTAACTGGCCCGGAAACTAGCCCTAACGCAGGGAGCGCGAAGCCAAAAGCCGTTAAAGTTGTCCATCGTACTTCGCGAGGCACCGCGTGCGGCACCGGCGATCAGCCCGCGACCCTCACCGTCGATAATCTCTTTGCGGGCATGTCGGGTCCATGTGTTTGTGTGAGTGGATGTAAGCAATGCCCGCTGCCCCTCGTGCTGGATTGTCGTGCCCCTCCGATTGCGGGCGGGCTTATATGAAATATGGCCGCTCTTCTATCTCACCTTGCATTTCATACTACTCATTGCACTCTCTTTGCTGAATACAATGGACTGGATGCATCTGTACATCGCCGCGGTCGCCTTCTCGGTCTTTGCCCTAGTCGGGCTGGTGCTGTTGATTTCGTTCGAGAAGATCAAAATCAACTATGATAACGTCGTGTCCACCTACGTGAAGTTCGTTTGGGCCAACTTTCTCAAGCCGCATGAACATGGTGGCGAGGGACAGCAGCATGCTCTCGAAAGCTTCTATAAGACACAGGTTCGGGTGATAAGTCTGGCCGACTTTCCTGTATACTGACAATCAGCAGGCGGCCGTCTACGATGCAACTCGCCGACGTCTTCTCCATGGTCGGGAAGATATGCTCGGGCTTGTCGCTGCTCAGTTGAAGTACAAAGTGGACAGCAAGAAAATCAAAAACGGAAAGGCAATCTGGGTAGATGTAAGTCCAGTGTTGGTGTGTTTCTTGGTCGAAAGCTAATGGACCTTGTATAGATTGGTGGCGGCACGGGGTAAGTCCATTCACTGGACGCAAAAACTGCGTTGAAGATTTAAGGCTAACCTCTCACTATTTTGCAGATACAACATCGAAGCCATGTCCGCTTTCCTTCCTGTGGACAAGTTCTTCGAGCATGTCTATCTAGTCGACCTGTCTCCATCCCTCTGCGAAGTTGCCCGCCAGCGCTTTGAACGTCTTGGATGGAAGAATGTCACCGTCCTCTGCCAGGATGCACGATCTTTCCGTCTTCCAGAGAGACCGATCGATCCTCGGTCTGCCACCAGCGCCGCAAGTGACGCCGCGGATTTGATTACCATGAGCTACAGCCTGTCTATGATTCCTGGTGCGTTGTCAATGCCATACTCGAAAAGTATTATCACTGACGTCGCCCTAGACTATTACAGCGTTGTGGACTCGTTGACTTCGCGTCTCTCATCATCCGGGATTCTGGGCGTCTGTGACTTCTATGGTATGTGAAATATCCTCAAGCTCATGTTATTGTCTGACTTTTATTGCAGTTCAAAGCATTGTGGATGTGTCCTCCCGCAACTACACTGGTGGCGCCTTCAACCGCCATGTAAATTGGCTGGGACGCATGTTCTGGAGAGCCTGGTTCGACTTTGACCGCGTCAGCCTCGAGGCCGCTCGTCGCGACTATCTCGAGTACCGGTTCGGAACGGTGATATCGGCAAGCGAGCGAAATTATCTGCTCGGCGGCATTCCATACTACATTTTCGTTGGCTGCCCAAAGGAAATGACCTCGACCTCGGCGGCCATCGAGAAGCTGGATGCTTCATTCACCGAGTCTCCTTACCTCTCCCCGGCAAACCATCAGCAGGATATGGACAAGGCCATTGAGAAGAGCACGGAAGAAATTCACTCCAAAGCCTACGAGTCCGCCGTGATCAACCTGAGCGCCAACCTGCCGCTCCCGGCATCATTCTACCAGAACCATCACTGCCGTATTTCCTACAATGACATGCTGCCCAAGCACACACAATTTCAGAACGAGTACATCTACGCATTCACTTGGGAAGACCCCCGAGTGGACCACCGGCTACTGAACATCGGCAGCGACGATGTGATTCTGGCTATCACCAGCGCAGGAGACAACATATTGGATTATCTCCAGAAGAGCCCGAGACGGGTCCACGCCGTCGACCTGAACCCTAACCAGAACCACCTGCTGGAGCTGAAGGTAGCGAGCTACATCGCACTGGGACACCGCGACATGTGGAAGATTTTCGGCGAGGGCAAGCACGCGGAGTTCCGCGAGCTCCTCATCTCCAAGCTGAGCCCGCACTTGTCCAGCCAGGCATTCCAGTACTGGCTGGAGCACACGCAAGTTTTCACTTCAAGCTCGGGCCATGGTCTGTACGAGACGGGCGGATCGCGCCACGCCATCCGCATGGTGCGGTATCTATTCAAGGTCTTTGGACTGCAAGGCGAGGTGCGCAAGATGTGCGAGGCGCAGACAATACAAGAACAGCGCGCCATCTGGCCTCGTATCCGCCGCGTTTTGCTCAGCAAGCCCCTGAACTGGGCCATTGTTAGCACGGAATGGTTTGCCTGGAAGGCGGCAGGTGTGCCGCGCAACCAGCGCAACATGATCGTGGACGACTTCTTCCGCCGCAATGGTTTGACATCTGACATGAAGCCCGGCAAGGATGTTAGTGGTCAGTCCATCTGGGAGTATGTCGTCAACACCCTCGACCCCGTTGTCAACGATACCATTATCAGCAACGACAACTACTTCTACTTCCTGTGTCTACAGGGCCAGTTCTCTCGACGGTTAGTCTTATACTGCCCGATAGCCTTAAAATGTTCTCCCCTAACTTTTCTAGATGCCACCCAACTTACCTGTCGCCCCAGGCGCATGTCAAGCTGTCTACCCCAGGAGCATTTGATGGCCTCCGGATCCACACAGACGAGATCAACGAGGTCATCAAGCGAATCACACCTGGCACATTGACTATCGCAGTGGTATGTGCCCAGAAACTTTAATTATTTTGTTATATGATACTAACCAGACCCAGATCATGGACTCAATGGATTGGTTCGACCCATCCAGCGAAGCTGCCGTCGCCCAAGTCCGCAAGCTCAACCATGCCCTCAAGAAGGGCGGT